CCAGTGGGAAATTACTCACATTTCTGTCCTTGTAAACATATGTCCTGGTCTCTACGGAAGACGTGTCATACAATCTTTATGCTCCTGAAAAAGTACTCATAGACAAAGCTGAAACTCCAAACCACAAGGACTTTGCTAAAGCATAAAGGAAAGTTTATTATGTGTATGCTCCCCCATGTCTCTGTTCAACTTTATTCAAGGCAGATAAAATGTAGTTATTGGACACTTTGATATGTTGAAAATAGGTGCAGACATTTAATGACGGGAAAGTTCATGACTCAGTAAAGATTGCTCCCGAGCTGGTAGCTTAGGACAGAAAACTATAAAATCAAATTATGATAATCAGTGGAGTCAGGAGAAAAAAGTAGGCCCACTGAGCTCTATTTACTGAATTTCTGACTTCATTATACACCACCTACTTTTTAAGCACAAGGAACAGATTTTTTATAATCTCAGTAGATTTGCAAAGTAAACTATTTTGTGATTACTATGTGAGTTTTTGGGGGAGACAAGTTTGTAAGGGAAGGGACTGGGGCTAGATGAAACATAAAATCATAAAGAATAAAAACAACCTGCTTGCACCACAATCTACTCACATGTATCTGGAATTTACCTTTTGAAGAGTTGGTTTGACTTTAAAGCTGTGAAAAGAGATGTGGTTGTCTTGGATTTCACCACTAAAAATCATTTTTTCCCAAACAACATTTCCATCACATAGCAGTGTCTACCTGTCTTGACATAAGAGTTAAACCATTGATCTGAGGCTTAAATAGGATTTTGAGCTGCAATGGTCTATTTTATCACATGTTACTTATGTGTTGAGTCAGCAAGGCCAAATACACTTCTAGTAGACATCAAATCTAGACAGCTGGGGTCTGCAAGTTCTTTATTTTTTAGCCTTCACTCAGATCTGTGTTTCAGGGGGAGGGTCAACATTTTCTACCTGTGACATTAAGAGTATCTATATCTTGGACAGTGCCCTTGACTGAAAAATCTTGTTGATGATTTTATATGGAATATCAGCCTTGGTCTGTCAAATTACACAGCTGCTGGCACTAATAGGGGGCCTTTCTTTTGGTATGCTTGTTAATATTTACAGAGTTCTTACTATGTACTTCATTGCTTTTTGTTTGTTTGCTAAACATTATTTTTTTCTTTTAACCATTCTGTAGCAGTAAGGTATTGCTATACAAGTTCAGTGATGTATACATAAGCATTTGTTATTCCTGCTTGAGGGTGGCCAGTCAAGTGGCCTTTGTCTGGATTGGTCACTTATCTGGGTGTCAGTTAGGGTCACTGGGTGATAGATGACGTGTCTCTGCTCCATGTCTTGCATCCTCTGGCAGGCAGGCAGGTCCTCATGATGGTGGCAGAAGGCCAACCAGGATACATAAGACTCTTGAAACTTAAGACTCAAACTGCCATCATTTCCAACACATTCTATCAGCCAAAGCAAGGTCAACCCAGATATAAAGGATTCTTCTTTACTGAGAAACACTGTTAAGTGATCTGGCAAAGGGAGTACATACAGAGATGAAGAAGAACTGGGGCCCGTAACTGAGACTATCATCAGTTCAGTCGCTCAATCGTGTCCGACTCTTTGCGACCCCACGGACTGCAGCATGTCAGGCTTCCCTGTCCATCACCAACTCCCAGTGCTTGCTCAAACTCATGTCCATCGAGTTGGTGATGCCATCCAATCATCTCATCCTCTGTCATCCCCTTCTCTTCCTGCCTTCAATCTTGCCCAGAATCAGGGTCTTTGCCAATGAGTCAGTTCTTCGCATCAGATGGTCAAAGTATTGAAGCTTCAGCTTCAGCATCAGTCCTTCCAATGAATATTCAGGACTGATCTCCTTTAGGATGGACTGGTTGGATTTCCTTGTAGTCCAAGGGACTCTCAAGTCTTCTCCAACATAGTTCAGAAGCATCAATTCTTTGGTGCTTAGCTTTCTTTATGGTCCAACTCTCACATCCATGTGACTACTGGAAAAACTGTAGCTTTGACTAGATGGACCTTTGTTGGCAAAGTAACGTCTCTGCTTTTTAATATACTGTCTAGGTTGGTCATAGCTCTTCTTCCAAGGAGCAAGCATCTTTTAATTTTATGGCTGTAGTCACCAACTGCAGTGAGTTTTGAGCCCAAGAAAATAAAGTCTGTCACTGTTTCCATTGTTTCCCTATTTATTTGCCATGAAGTGATGGGACCAAATGCCATGATCTTAGTTTTTTGAATGTTGAGTTTTAAGCCAGCTTTTACACTCTCCTCTTTTACTTTCATCAAGAAGCGCTTTAGTTCCTCTTTGGTTTCTGCCATAAGGGTGGTGTTATCTGTGCATCTGAGGTTATTGATATTTCTCCCAGTAATGAAGCTAGTGCTTCATCGAGTCCAGCATTTTGTATGATGTACTCTGCATATAAGTTAAATAAGCAGGGTGACAATATACAGCCTTGATGCACTCCTTTCCCAATGTGGAACCAGTTCATTGTTCCATGTCCAGTTCTGTTGCTTCTTGACTTGCATACAGATTTCTCAGGAGGCAAGTAAGGTGGTCTGGTATTCCCATCTCTTGAAAAATTGTCCACAGTGTGTCCTGATCCACACAGTCAAAGGCTTTGGCATGGTCAATAAAGTAGATGTTTTTCTGGAACTCTCTTGCTTTTTCTATGATCCAATGGATGTTGGCAATTTGATCTCTGGTTCCTCTGCCTTTTCTAAATCCAGCTTGAACATCTGGAAGTTCTCAGTGCACGTACTGTTGAAGCCTGGCTTGGAGAATTTTGAACATTAGGTTGCTAGTGTGTGCGTCTTCGCACACGTCTTGTGTAATTGTGTGGTAGTTTGAACATTCTTTGGCATTGCCTTTCTTTGGGATTGGAATGAAAACTGACTTTTTCCAGTCCTGTGGCCACTGCTCAGTTTTCCAAATTTGCTGGCATATTGAGTGCAGCACTTTGAGACTATCATATAGCTCATTAATCCTGACCATCATGCTATGAGTTTAGGTACTGTTATTATTCCCATTTTGCAGCAGAGGAAATTAATGCCTAGGATGTTTAATCAATGCTGTAAACAGAAAAAAAATCTTCAGCTGGAAATTGAGAGAATCTGGGCGCTTGTTGCTGCACTAGGGAATTTGGTTGTAACAAACAGAAAATCTGTAGCTTATCAACTTGGTTTTTGAAAATCTCATATCACCATGGTGGAGTGAGTATCAATTTTAGTTTGCACAGTGAAATGCGCAATGGAACTGTATTCTCTGGATTTCGATCTAACTGTTAACTTGGAGCTCCCATTCTGCTGAACTGGCAGAAAAATTAAACTAAGTTCTTTCTGCAGATTATCTTCTGTCCTGGACATTTGTTATTGTTTCTGGCTGCTGAGTGAGTTCCCTTCTCAAGTCTGAGGAACCCTCATGTTTACAAAGCTGAGCTCACCTCCCACTTCTGATGAGGGAAAAGCACTAGATAAGTGATTCCCCAGCCTCCTTGCAAGTTCCAGATTCTGTTGAGAAGCTTGTGAAAGAAAAGAATGCACAGGATCCATTCTGATTGTAGTAAAAGCAGTGGTCATATCTAAGTAGAGGTAGAAGCTGTTCTGATGTCAGTGTCTGATGTCCAGCATGGTTTAAACTACAGTGTCTGTGCCCAGTGCTGGCCATAGGAGGGGTCACCTTCAGACCAGCCTCACAGTTCAGTTTTAGTTTTTAGGCTATTCTGACTGCATACGTGTGTGCTCAGTAGCTCAATCATGTCTGACTCTTTGTGACCCCATGGACTGTAACCCACCAGGCTCCTCTATCCATGGGATTTCCCAGGCAAGAATATTGTAATGGGTTGCCATTTCCTTAAGGATCTTCGCAACCCAGGGATCGAAGCTACATCTCCTGCGGCTCCTACATTAGCTGGCAGATTTTTTTTTTTAAACCATTGAGCCACCTTGAAGGCCCTTCAGATCTTCTGAGAGATTCTGTGAGCTATAGTGGTTGTGCTAATTGCTCAGTTGTGTCTGACTCTTTGCGACCCCACGTGCTGTGGCCCACCAGGCTTCTTTGTCCATGGGATTTCTCCAAGCAAGAATACTGGAGAGGGTTGCCATTTCCTCCTCCAGGGAATACTCACGACCTAGGAATTGAACCTGCGCCACCTGCTTAGCAGGTGGGTTCTTTACCACCGAGCCACCAGGGAAGCCCATTTTGTATTGGGGCATAGCTAATTAACAACACTGTAATAGTTTCAGGAGAAGAGCTAAAGGACTCAACCATACTTATGCGTGTATCCACTCTCCTCCAAGTTCCCCTCCCATCCAGGCTGCCACATAACGCTGGGCATAGTTCCCGGTGCTACATGTAGGTCCTTGCTGGTTATCGATTCTAAATACAGCACAGTTTAAATGTCCATCCCACTTGCTGCCCCTCAAGTGGACTACAGGAAGTGAGGTATAGGCCTCCCACCTCTATGAGACCATAGACCATCCTTCTCTCTTTTGCTTAAATTCATCTTCTCCAGCCTGGAAGAAGTCTCCTCCTATTCTGGAGAAACGCCCTTTCCTACATATTTCAATCACTATATTAATACTTTGGGTTTGTTTTCTTTTTTTTCCTTTTAGTAGAAAAATTGGTTTGTTTTCAAACCTCTTCTCTATTTTAAAAGTCACATTTGTTAACTGCAGGATTTTGGGAAAAGAGCGCCTGGAAACCTTGAGGACAACTTGTGTTCTGTCCTGAGCTGTCGACTGCAGATCCAATGACCTGATTAAAAGCGAGGAAGCCAGCGAGGCCATGCAGGGAGAAAATTCTCCTTTTCCAGACAGTGACATCTTACAGGGTGTATGTCGGGACCGCTGGCAGAACTGGTCCAGTGTTTTGACCTCACGCCCTGACACTTATGCCTCTTCCTGCTCCACAGAATCTATGTTCCTGCTGAACCAAACCGTCACGGACAGAAGCCATTCACAATTCCCAGGAAATAAAAATAGAATCTGGGTAATAAAGTCTTACCCTTTTTGTCATCCCTTTGTGCTTCCTCTGGTGTCCCTGGCTCACAGGCTTCTGCACGCAGACGCCTTGAACCCGGCCACTGAGACCAGAGGTCCTGGCTCAAAATGGCGACCCCGGCCCCTCAGCCTGGGGCCGTGTGCAGAGGCGCCGCCCTCGACGCTCCGCCCAAGATGGCGGCGGGGCTGCGTGCTGAGGCCCTGCGCCTGCGCAGTGAGCTGCAACCGTGAGCGGCGCAGCCCGCCCGGCCAGCACGCCGCCCGCTCCCCTCCGCGGGTGAGGCCTCACAGAGCAGCCCGGCCCACCGCCTCTCGGGCAGCCTGTCTCTATAGTGGGAACTCCAGCCCCTCCACGCCTTCATCGGACAACGAGGCTTTCCTCTGCGTCTTGACTGAGCGTGTCTCCTTCCACTGTCCCGAGTGTCACGGGGCAGGCGGACACTTGAGGTAGAACTGGCTCCGGAGGGTCGTAACGAAACCAGGTAACATGTCTCCAGCACCTCTTTGCCCCCACATTTCTCTGCATAGACAATTGTTGTCTCTGTCTGATGTGTCCCTTATTTACTGGTTCTTAGAGACAAAATCCTAACTGCCCTTAAGAAGAAAAGGAGGGATGTGTCTGACTCCCCACTTCCACTGCAGGGAGCACAGGTTTCATCCCTAGAGAGCGAACTAAGCTCTCACAAACCAAAAAAAAAAAAAAAAAAAAAAAAGGAGATGGTGCGGGAGTACGTATCAGCAACTACGTAATGTTTTAATGTCTTTGTGTGCTGATACATCGTAACTAGACTTATTTTGGAACTCACTTTCCCTGATGGCTCAGAGGTTAAAGCGTCTGCCCGCAATGCGGGAGACCCGGGTTTGATCCCTGGGTTGGGAAGATCCCCTCCTGGAAAAGGAACTGGCAACCCACTCCAGTATTCTTGCCTGGAGAATTCCATGGACAGAGAAGCTTGGTGGGCTACAGTCCACCGGGTCCCAAAGAGTTGGACACGACTGAGCGACTTCACTTCATTTTGAAACATATAGAAGTATCAAATAGTTTTGTTATATAACTGGAACTGATATAGTGTTGTTGGTCAATTACACTTCAAAAACAAACTCAGAAGAATAGATCTTTTCTCTCTTAGGAAGGGTTGAGGGGAGGGGGAATTGAATGAAGACAGTTGAAAAGTACCGACTTCCACTTGTAAGATAAGTAACTACTAGGGACGTTCAAGACGGGTAAGTATAATTAATGCTGCTGTGTGTTTTATGTGAAAGTTGAGAGTAAATCTTGAGTTCTCACCATATGGAAAAATATGTATCTTTTTATTTCTTTCATTTTGTATCTCTATGAGATGATGGATGTCATTAAACTTACTGTGATCATCATTCCATACTTGTAAGTCAGTCAGTATGCTTTACACCCTAAACTTGTACAGTGCTGGGATATATCAGTTATATCTCAATAAACATGAAAGGAAAAAAAGAAATGAAGAGAGGGAATCCCCACTGGCAAGCGTAGCTACTATTTGAATAAATGTTTTGAAAAATAGTTTGGCCATTTAGGGGAATTTCTATAGACAGAGTCCTTATTTTATGGGGCCTTATGTTTTGATGGAATAATTTATTGAAAACTTGAGATTCTGAAACTCTGTAGCATCACCATACTCTTCTTCAAGGAGAAGATGCATTTCCTAAGGCCTTTCTTCCTTGGAACTCTGGGTTCTTTTTAACCTCACTTGTTCACTGGTTTAGTAACAGGAATGGGTGCTTCTGAGGTGGCACTAGTGGTAAAGAACCCGCCTGCCAATGCAGGAGATGTAAGAGACGTGCGTTCGATCCCCGGGTTGGGCAGATCTCCTGGGGGAAGGCATGGCAACCCACTCCAGTGTTCTTGCCTGGAGAGTCCCCATGGACAGAGGAGCTTGATGGGCTACAGTTATTAGGGTTGCAGAGTCGGACATGACAGAAGCGAATTAGCACACTTGCATGGGTGCAGAGGAGAAATTTTCAAGTGCCCAGAAATAAATGGAACGATAATCTTAATGTCATTTTAAATTTAAGTGGCTAGAAATTACCTATGGGGATTTTGTCCTCTTATACTCTCTCTCTTCTCTTTCTTTTATCTTGAAATGGTAGTTTTCAAGGGTGTCTTCATTGTTTCAAGGACGGTTATTGAGAATTTACCATGTGTAAGACATTATGCTAAGCAGTGGCTTTATGTATATAATAGAACATTAAACAGGTTAGGAATAATGGGGTGTAAACATAAAGCAATTTTATTTTATCTCCCACTATCACTTAAAACTTTATTGGGCTGGGAGGGGTTTCCTCTGCCCTTAGATGATTTTTCTTGATCATTTATGTTAATAGAAACTTCTGCATTGCTCTAAGTTACTAAACACAGTTTTAGTTCTGAAATTAGAAATTTTTTTACTTTAACAGAATCTGTTTAATTGTATTTAAAAAATTTTTGTTGAAATATAGTTGATGTACAATGTGTTAGTTTCTGCTGTCCAGCAAAATGAATCAGTTATACATATACCCACTCTTTTTTTTTTGTGAAAGACTCTTTTGCCATTTAGGCCATTCAGAGTACTGAGTAGACTTACCCGTGCTATCCTGGAGGAGGGCATGGCAACCCTCCTTGCAGTTTTCTTGTCTGGAAAGTCCCATGGACGGAGGAGCCTGGTGGGCTACAGCCCACAGGGTCGTAAAGAGTCAGTCACAACGGAAGTGACTTAGCATGCATGCATGCGCCTGTGTGGTACGGCAGGGTCTTATTAGTCTTCTATTTTAGCTATATTAATAGCTAAATACACACTATATTAATAGTGTGTATCAATGTCAATCCCAATTTCCCAATTTGTCCCTCCCCTCCTGTCCCCGGTAACCACGAGTTTGTTTTCTGCATCCATGACTCTGCTTCCATTTTGAAATTAAGTTCATTTGTACCTCTGTTTTTTTATATTCCACATCTAAGTGATATCATATGATATGTGTCTTTCTGTGTATGGCTTACTTCACTCAGTATGACAACGTCTAGGACCTCCATGTTGCTGCAAATGGTATTATTTGCCTCATATAATAAGCCAATTTCTGAACTTGACTTAAATTAAGATCTCCTTCCCTTAGACAAGCTGTCCAGGAAAGTCTACATCCAGTAACGAGGAATGTGGTCACCTTGTTTCGTCCTTCACTCTGTAGTCACACATCTGTCCAAAGGGGCTTCTGACCTTCTTCTTCAGAGAATTGGGATGGAGTTGAGGTTGGGCGAGCAGGGAAGTGACTGTCAGCGTTGTGAACTGCGTCCATGGTCTCTGGCCCCAGCAGATGTGTATGCTGACTCTTTTCCCTCTGAGCACTGTCTTGCGTTCTTTGGAGATTCTCCTCCCCTTGCTAGGAAACTCACACAGAAACCTTTCTGTTTCTGTTTGATTAGTTCTTGCTCAGGGGTCAAGGGTTTCCCTGGAAGATGCTGTCCCTTTCTCAAGATATCCAAACCCCTCTTTGCTTGGAGGGTGTATAGGTACTTCAGGTCCTTAGGTCGCACTGTCTGCATGGGAACGTGCTCACACTTGGTCTCGTGTTCTGCTCTGAGGTCCCGGAGACGCAATTCTGTTGGTCATGAGCCCTCCCCGGCAGCTTCAGAAAGCCAAGGTTTTGACTCCTCCTCCAGGCCGAGCCCCTCGTCTGCCCTCTCCCCGTCCCCCTTTCCTTCGATCCACGTCTGAGCCCTGTTTATTGAGACAGAAGCTGCCCCTGGAAACATGCATCTAAATCACTCCATCTCAGAGTTAGCCGTGTAGCCTCTCTGGGTCTTCATTTTTGGTTTGAGAAGAAATATTCCTTGGAATGCCAGTGAGGGAACAAAGGGTGAGGGAGCCAGGCTGAAAACGCAGAGTGATTGTTCAAGACCCGCTCCTGCCGCACAGCTTGATCAGAGGGTCATCAGCGGGTTTGCTAAGAGGTGCTGTTTTTGCTGGTGCTGAAGGATAAGTTCACCTCTGAGGTAAAGTAAAGCAAAAGGATGTTCTTGACAGAAAGGATAGGGCCCCGAAGGGAAGGTGTCTGAAAGTACATGAAGCGTTTGTGGAAACGGCTGTAGCTTTAGGAAGTGTGATCGGGAAGATCCTTAATGAAGAAGTACTTAGTGTTTCAAACAAAGGGGTTTGGCATTTACCCAGTGGTCCCTAGGGGCACTTGGGAGGTTGTAAACAGGGAGGTGATATGTTCCTAAGAGACAGTGACACCTAGGAAAAAAACTTCCAAAAGATGTGTAAGGTATCTATGGAGAAAATGACAAGGCATGGGTGAAGGGCAGAACTGGGCCCTTGAAAAAGAGAAATCCTAAAGCCCTGGGCTGCCCATTCCAACAGCTGTGTTATTTGTTGGCCTGATTTTCATGTCTCTCTCTTCTGTCAATTGCTTTTCTGCTAGACGTGGAAACGTAAGGAACGGAAATAAAACTTACCAAGTACTTCCTCCTCCCTTCTCTGCTCCTCTTCAGTGAGCTGTTGCAAAAGTCAAAACGAGACAAAGCAAGACCATTTGGGCTTTAGAAGTAAGTGGGAAAAAGGAAAGTTGTCAAGAAGGATATGTGTTTGTATATTCACTTGTAAAAAAGTGAATAAACAATAGAGATGGTGGAGTTAGGATACTCATGGAAACAAAAATTGGAGGAATATGCAGCAAACTGTAACTATTCATGTTTCGGTGTATTTTCAAGTATTATATCTGAAACACAGTGTTTTTATTGAAGTGTAATTGCTCTACAAATGTGTTAGTTCCTGCCGTACAATAACGTGAGTCCGCTCTGTGCACACAGATAGCCCCTCCTCCTGCGCCTGCCTCTGCCCCCCATCCCAGCCCTCCAGGTCAGCGCGGAGCACTGAGCTAGCTTTCTGTTACACGGCAGCTTCTGCCAGCCGTCTGTCTCACACGTGGCCGTGTATGTGTGCCAGCGCGGCTCTCCCGGCTCTCCCTTCACGGCGCCCTCCCACTACACTGTGTCACGTGTGTTAGCTCTCTTTGTACCTGTCTTTTATCACAATCTATCTATGTAAACTCTGCGAGAGACTTTTCCTAGAAGAGTCTCTGATACATTGTAGGAATTCAATGTGTATCTGTTGAATAAGTGAGTCTATACATTATATATATTTATATATGTATGTACATATATAGGATCCTTTACTTATAAACAAACAACGATTTTGCTTTTGTGTAACAAGGGTGGAGTTCTCAGTTCAGAACTTTGAAGTCCTGGGAGGGGCAGCCTTGTTTGCGAGGCTGTGCTCTGCACTGTAGGATGTTAAATAGCATCTCTGCTGCTGCTCAGTCACTCAGGCATGTTGACTCTCTGTGACCCTGTGGGCTGTAGCCCGCCAGGCTCCTCTGTCCGTGGGATTCTCCAGGCGCGTGTATTAGAGTGGGTTGCCGTGCCCATCTGCAGGGGATCTTCCCCACCCAGGACAAACCTGGGTCTCCCGCGCCGCAGGCAGAATCTTCACAAGCCGAGCCACCAGGGAAGGCCCTAATAGCGTCCCTGGTCTTTGTTCATTAGGTGCCAGTAACTCCTCCCTCTGGAGAAGGCGATGGCACCCACTCCAGGGCTCTTGCCTGGAAAATCCCATGGACGGAGAAGCCTGGTAGTCTGCAGTCCATGGGGTCGCTAAGAGTCAGACACGACTGAGCGACTTCACTTTCACTTTTCGCTTTCCTGCATTGGAAAAGGCAATGGCAGCCCACTCCAGTGTTCTCGCCTGGAGACTCCCAGGGACGGGGGAGCCTGGTGGGCTGCCGTCTGTGGAATCGCACAGAGTCGGACACGACTGAAGCGACTTAGCAGCAGCAGCAGCAGCAACTCCTCCCTCCCTGCCTCCAACCAGTGGTGGCAACCAAAAATATCTCCAGATGTTGCTTAATGTCCTCTGGGGGTCAAAATCCTCCCCCTTTCCCTCGCTGAGAACCACTGCTATGGGAGAAACTCAGAGTCAGGTGCCTCTTAATCGTTTTAAAAATGTGTAGTGCATCATGAGGTAAATGGCAAATTTCGATCTACTACTGTGCTGTTAGAGGGAAATGAGCTGAAAACTCTGTCATGGATTCTCATAGTTTAATGAGAGTTACTCAGGTCTCAGCCCCTCTCTACATTTTGGTTTTCTTGTTTAGTATAAATGCAATCCAATTTAATCTGCATATAAACACATCCATTGCATATTAAAATCAACATATTATAAGCATCAAGCTGAATGCTTTCTTGAAGGAGCAAACAAAAAATTCATACATATTAATATCACAGATAAGCCAATTATTATGTGAAGTAGTAAATAAAAAAACAATATGATTAATCTAAAACTGGGAGCTTCATAAAGCAAAATATATGATATTAAGATTAGACTGCTTTAGAAACAATATTATGAATCCTTGCATTTTACATGTAATTTGTTTAAAATTAATTTCCCAGTGTGCTATCTTATTTTTGTTTCACCTAGACCTACACTAATAAGTTTTATGAAACATTGATATTACTTAAAATCACAGCGTGGAGAAGATGCCATTTCTCTACTCTTAATTGAGGCAGAACACATGGGTTAGCTTCACAGTTCACAAGACCCTGAGGACCTGCAGGTATGCTGGGATTTTTGATTATCCGCTGGAAGGAAGCAGTGATGCCACTCACCTGGTTTATGAAACAATCAGCATTATTGTTTACATAAAAACAACAACAATAATCTTTACAATAAAGAATACAATTTTAGAGCACTTACCGTGTGCCAAGCCCTTGGCATTATGACTGTGCATGTGTGTGTGTGTGTGGGTGTGCATGCTCATTTGCTCAGTTGTGTCTGACTCTTTGTGACCCCATGGATGGTAGCCAGTGAGACTCCTCTGTCCATGGGATTTCCCAGGCAAGAATACTGCAGTGGGTTGCCATTTCCTTCTCCAGGGGGTCTTCCCAACCCAGGAATCGAACCCTGGTCTCCAGGCAGATTCTTCACCACTGCGCCACCTGGGAAGCCCCTGGTGTGTTAACTCTTTGAGGGCAGGGTCAAGGTTTGTTCTTCCTTTTCTCGTCCAGAATGCAGGACGCATTGCTGGTACTTCAAGAAATACAAAGAAATAGGATTCAGTTTTACCTTGGTCTTGCCCCGGGACTTCCCGGGCTGTGATCTGTACTTTCCCGTCTGTTCTTTCCAGCCAAAGACCATCATGTTCGAGCCACAACCCTATGTATCTCATGCCTTCTTACACTTGAAGGTCCATTACAACCTTCGCCTCCTCAGTGAAAACTGCTTCTGAGCATCCCCTGGGCACTCAGTGTAACAGTTTAACAGTTTTCTCTTTTTAACCTTTGAAACATCTTATTATATTTGTAGCCTTTTTGCAACCCACTGTAAGTTTCTGTATTGATCTATATTTTAAGAGCCTCTTCTGGTGCTTGGAACATACTAGGCAGGTAATATATGCTAGCTGTTCTTATTACATGCTTGTATATGTGTGCCGGGGGGCATGCATTCAGATCCCTACAGGGTCCATCCAAATCCTAGTAGTGGACTTTAAGCAAGTCACAACCTCTCTGAGCCTCAATTTCCTCATCTGTGAAACTGGATCATAATAATACCTACTTCATAGAGTAGATGTACAGATTAAATGCACTTAAAATATGTGAAGGGCTTAGAAAATCGCCTGACTCATTGAGTTGTTAGCTGTTATTTTTATAGAGACCTATTAATGAAGTGAATCAAGCTGAAATTGAGAAATTTTTTCCCTTGAAGCACGTGAATTGCCTGATCTGGCTTAATTTCCCCAGTTTTAAAAGAGATGCGGGTATATGGGATATTGCTCATATTTCTTAAGCTCACTATAAGGGAAACAGTAGCGCCAAGTGTGATGATAAATGGTAACCGAGACTCAGCCTCAAGACATTAGGAGCGGTGGGGTCTGGGAAGAAACGGAGGCACCCGTGCTCTCTGAGGGGCGGCCGCTACTCAGCCCAGCCGTTGTGCCGTGGGAATGCAGACTTGCATTATCAGATTGTCAGGTGTTTAAAGAGAAGCCCAAACTGAAATTTTATAGGAAGTCTCCTAGTTTTTAAATGTTGGCAGCCAAATAAATAAAATTCAGTATTTTCTGCACCTTCCCCGGTGGCTCAGTGGTAAAGCATCTGCCTGTCAATGCAGGAGACCCAGGTTTGATACCTGGGTCAGGAAGATTCCCTTGGAGATGGAAATGGCAACCCACTCCAGTATTCTTGCCTGAGAAATCCCATGGACGGAGGAGCCTGGTGGGCTACAGTCTATGGGGTCACAAAACAGTTGAAGATGACTTAGCAACTAAACACACACACACACACACAGTATTCTCTGCAGTGTGACAAGACTGTGCAAGACCCTGCATCTCTAGCCCCGCTTGGTCCCTGGGCCGCCAGTTTGCGAGCTCGGTCTCAGCTGACAGCTTCCTCTTGGGTGTGAATGTGACCTGCCCGCAGAAGATATGTGGAATCACATTTTGGTCAAAGAACTCTGAAGCCTTTTCCATACATAAAATTCGGCTTGTGATTTTTCTTTTAATAATCCAAAGGCTATTCCCCATTGTTGCTCTGTTTTGTTTTTTTTTTTTTGTCTTTGTGTGCACATTGGTAACATGCCCTGAATGCAGAAAAGCCATAAACTAGGTCATTTCCTCGGACAGGGAAATTCTCTGAAGCAAAAGCAGCAAAAAAAGAATCCATCATTTCCTACTACAGAAGTACATACTTTCTCTCCAAAACCTACGCAGAGTTTAACACAATAAAAAACCACGTCTGACCAAAATGGTAAATTCATGCAGTTTAAAATTTTTAATCACCTTAAGCCGAATCCTAAATCGGTTTTCCAGCAAGAACACAAATCAACTGCTTAGCTTCCCCTTAAGAAAATGCTGACCTCTACAAGAAACACAGTTATTTGTTTTTTATTTTTTTCTCCTTCCCTTCTGGATGTTTTTTTAAATTTTATTTTATAGAATTTAATAAAGGATGAAGTAACAAATGAGGAGATAAAAATATTCCTGACCACTCTAGGGCAACTGTGGGTTTGTAAACAGATATTGTAGCCAGTCCCTCAAGTCACATCAGTATTTGACTTTATAATTCAAGCTCTGTTTATTACTAAATTTAACTTGTATCTGTGTGTCTCTCCCTGAATTCAAGTAAATGGCAGCCCGAGACTATAACATGCCAAATTATCCGTTTCATTGGCACTTCTGTCAATTTATGTATCTGTCGGTGCATTGATCTCTTTTAACGTGGTCTTTCAAGGAAGGCATTTCTATATCTTTGTTTCTTATTCCTCCTTGTTTACGGAGAGCTGGTCCTCCCCTGTCTTTCAAATTGCCCTCTCTTCTCATCTACAAATGTTCATGATATAGATATATTTTTTATTATTCCCTCTAACCTTTCTTCTTCTCATCTCTTTTATGATTTCGACTGTGTCATCAGAAACTGACTGCTGAGGCTGCCAATTAGCCTTTGTCAGCCCTGGTCTCAGCCTCTGCATGCGCGTGCAGGACTGGAGGGCAGGCCCTGTTTCGTGTGCACTGCTTGTCCTCACGTGGAGATGCACCATCACCGAAGGAAGAGCGGTAGATGGACCCTGATGAGCTGCTGACGAACTTCCTGTTGTGAGTGTGTGGTGGCAGGGTAGTGGGGGGTGGGCAGCTCGGGCAGGAAGGAGAACCAAGTCCTGACCACCTACCTAACTGACCAGGTCCCTTTTCAGCTCTTCACCAAGGTATCAGTGGTTCTGAAATGCTTCCCAGCATAACGTTGGCGATCTGTGTCGGTGAGTGCAAGTGGTGGGTGGGGGAGCACGGTGACAGAGATAACCCACTGTTTTCTGTCCCCTGGGTTCCATCTGCCCAGCTGGCCTCTGTCAAGTGGCTCCCCTCCCTGATGACTGTTTCAGGGTACCCTGCGGGGTGCGGTAAGTGAGACGGTGACCCTGGGTTCAGCGTTTAAGGGCGCCCTCCAAAACTCCATCATCAACATCAGTATTTTAATGGGATATTTAAAAAAATCAAGATGAATGTAAAGAAATTCGCTATGAACAGAATGTCAAAAATTCTCATAAAGACAGGGTCCACACAGCTGCTGTTTCTTGATGCCTTAGGTGCCAGGATGGCTTGGCTCTGCGGTGCTGTTCCTGATTCTGTCTTTATTGAATGTTTTCATACCCTTCTTGTGGAGGGGAGCGCTGAGAAACTGGGCGCTCACAGTGCCCAGGTGTGATGTGGGAGGGCCCCCTGGGGTGCCCTCTGACCTCGGGACCTTGGAGTTCCCTGGCATTCCTGTGTCTTACAGAGTTCCTGTGCCCAAAGTGTCTTCGGTGTTTACTGGTATTTTCTCAGTTCTCCATCAGGCTTGTGGACGAGAGTCCAACAAGGTCTTGGCCAGAAGACCAGCCCAAGAACCCCGAAGACTGTTATATTCAGAATCATGCCTTCTTTGGAGACTAAGGCTTTTGTACAGAGCTGGTCTCGCTGTGTTCGAATGCCTGTTCCCTTGGGATGGCTTCTCTTCCTGTTGTTCTTCAGGCTCCCTGCAGGTCTCGCCACCTGGGAATCAGACGTCTCCATTGCCCTCATCACCATCATCACTGTCGGTCCACATTTATTGAGGGCAGAGGCATTTCTCATTTACCCCTCACCACAGCCCTGGCTGGTGGGGTCCGTGGCTATGTGCCTTTTGCCACTGAGGGGGCTGAGCGCGCGAGGAATAAGTTCGCTGGCACCCTCTTGCTTGGAAGCGGTGGGGCTTGGGCTTGAACCCACCTACCCCGCATTCTAGATGCTGAGCTCCTAACCTCTTGCATTTGCCCTGTAGACTTCTGTGAAGTCTCGGGAACCAGGAGGCTTTTCTAGAACTTTATTTGCTATATGCACACACAACACACACTCAACATTGCCAACATTCTGGTACTCTGCCCCTGGTTAAAGTTCAGTTCTTGGCCATACTGGTGATTTTAAGGCAGAGAAACTGCCCTGAGAGACTTCAGCCCAGTTACAGAATGAAACATCTTTATCAGTTAGGGTTATTGGCCATAAGCAACAGCAACTGATTCTGGTTAACTTAGATAAACCCTGGACTTATTAAGAGAATACTGGCTTCTCATGAGGCTCAGATGGTAAAGAAGCTGCCTGCAGTGGGGGAGACCCAGGTTCAATACCTGTGTTGAGAAGATCCCCTGGAGAAGGGAATGGCCACCCACTCCAGTATTCTTGCCTGGAAAATCCCGTGGACAGAGGAGCCTGGCAGGATACAGTCCATGAGGTCGCAAAAAATCAAAAGAGACTGAGTGACTTTTCACTGGCTTCTCACAGAAGATCAAGAGTTAGGAGTCTCAGGTTTAGGAGCCACATAACAACTGGTTCCCAAGCCCTTAACCCTGTCTGTTTACCTGTTTGCCTGTCTGCACATTTGTACAGAGAGGGATATGTGCCTGAAATGAAAGGGCCACCAGGGAAGCTCAGTAAGAGTTGGCAGACCCTCCAATGAACATCTTAACTTGGAATCATAGCCTTTCCTCAAATAATAAAATCTAAGGAGAGGCTGAATAGGTTGCCTATGGTCACAACCCTATACTAATCCCCATTACAGAGATGACAATCTTGAGACCTACTGTGGTTAAGTGACTTGCCTAAGGTTTCAGAGCCAATAAGTGATAGAACCAGGATTTGAACCCCAGACTATCTGCCTTCAGATAACTATCTGAAAAATAGAGCTTTTTAAACACCAAATCTAAAAATACATCTAGAAACTTTAGAAAGTTTAAATATATCTTTAAATTTGTGTCAAAATACATACCCTGTGCTGTCTGACTGAGGGAAATCATTTTGCTCTCGTAATGACCTCTTCATTTAATTCTTACAGTGTTGCTTAAAAAAAATTCTCTATGTATATATTATCCAAGAGTTTTATGAAAAAAAAATGTTCAGAACTACTTATATTTACAAGCAGTATTACCTTTTGGGATATAATTTCTAGAAGTTTACCATCTGTTATGGAAAGGAATTGAGAACGTTCAAAATGTTGCTTAGAATATGGCAATTTAAGTATATCTGTGAGTGTAGGACAATTATCAGCATTGGCTTTCTCAACTACCCTGAAATCTCAGTTTCCTGGCCTCAGCAAACCAACCAGGGGTGGAAATGGGGTACTGATGACTCAAAAGCATTGTGGCCATTACCTGTGCACTAACACCACCCCACAGCTCCTGCAACCCACCTTCTTCCTCAGGAACTTCTGAGCATCCCCGTATGGGGTCCCCATAGATACACGGGGCTTCCCTGATAGCTCAGCTGGTAAAGAATCTGCCTGCAATGCAGGAGACCCTGGTTTGATACCTGGGACAGGAAGGTCCCCTGGAGAAGGGATAGGCCACCCACTCCAGCATTCTTGGGTTTCCCTGTGGCTCAGCTGGTAAAGAATCTGCCTGAAGTGAGGGAGACCTGGATTCAGTCCCTGGGTTGGGAAGATCCCCTGAAGAAGGGAAAGGCTATGCACTCCAGTATTCTTGCCTGGAGAATGCCATGGACAGAGAAGCCTGGCGGGCTACAATCCATGGGGTTGCAAAGAATCAGCTATGACTGAGTGATGCTTTACCAATGCCTATAACATAGTAAAGCACTTGATCAATGTAAACTTTTATTACAAAACACTGACACACACACTTTTTAAACAGAAGTGATATTATAGACTTGTCTCTATGTGCATCTAATCTTGAATTATCAGGTGACTTATTCCTGGCTTGTGTGTATATATATATGTACCTTGGAGTCGGTAAACAAATGTGTATATATATAACATCTGTGAGTCATATTCCCTTCCCAGTGCCTATGGTCTTCATTTTGAAACGTCAATTATTTCACAGCTTCATGGGTGCATGTGGAAGTGTGTCTGAGCATTCTTCGACCTTCTTGGTCAATAATGACCTAGTTTTATCCTGAGTAGCTCTATTTCCCTGCATTGATGTGTGAACATCTGTGAGTCTTCTCAAGGAAATGAGATCATAGTAACATCTGGAGATTGCAATGAGATGATTGCTCTGAACTAAATCTCTTTGGTCCTGTACTATTCCCATCACCTACATTCATTACTGTGGCTCACCTCTGGCAGAAAGAGGAATGGCTCTCCTGTTTAACTCTCCAGAGGCAGGAGGGAAAAAAATAGGAATATCTAGTAGTTACTGAAAACTCCCCACGTGGAAGTACTTTATTGCAGATTCCTTACTCCCCTGCAGAGTCTGAGCCTTTATCCCCACCATCACTAATTGATACGTGAAGAGACTGGCAGAGTGAACACTCTGACGATGAATACACGATAGGGCCAAGACTGCAGTTCCGATGCCCTATGTTCGGTTCTAGAGCTTGCCATTTAAGAAAAATAAACTTTGATTTTCACGATAATTTTAGATTTCCAGTGGATTTACAGAGATAGTATGAGCCTACTGTTTTTCACCATTGCATTTTACTGCCTTCTGAGACTTAAGATTTTACTAAACCATGTCAACTTTATCACCAGCTCAGCAAGCTTCTTTTTAAATTGAATTAGTTGATTATTTTTGGCTGTGCTGGGCCTTTGTTGCGCAGGCTTTCCTCTAGTTGCGGTGAGCGGGCGCTCCTCTTCCTCACGGTGTGCAGGCTTCTCACTGCAGAGGCTTCTCTCGCTGCTGGGCACAGGCTCTAGGGCGTGCGGGCTTCAGTAACTGTGGCACGTGGCTCAGTAGTTGGGGCTCCTGGGCTCTGGAGCACAGGCTCAGTAATTGTGGCCCAGGGCTCAGTTGCTCCGTGGCGTCTGGGGTCTTCCCAGATCAGGGATCGAACCCGTGTCTCCTGCATCGTCAGGCTGATTCTTCACCACTGAGCCGTCAGGGAAGCCGTCACCTAACTTCTTACCTGTAGCTCTGATCTCAGTTAGAGGCTCTGATTAACTACATCTGAGGCCCCGTTTGAAGAAAACAATGCAAGGTTTATTCTTCTAGTTCAACAAATGGTGATTGAGTGCTTTCTATATTCCTTGCATGGAGTTAAGGACCAGATGGTGAGCCATGCAGTCCTGCTGATTGTCCTTTGGGGAAATAGATGTTGTGTACACACACACACACACACACACACAGACCTAAGTGTAAGTCTGCAGGGAGCAAACGCTGAGAGCATCCACACACACACACACACACAGAGCTAAGTGTAAGTCTGCAGGGAGCAAACGCTGAGAGCATCCGACAGTGGAGGCTGACCTGGTCTGTGAGTCACCATGCAGGGAAAAACAGGTAGGAATCATTTCCCTTATGAGGCGATATTTGAGCTGATGCTTTGAAGGGCAGGGCTTCTGTGGGAGGGGAGGACTGTACAGGCAGACAGGACATCTCTACACAGACTCCAGTGTCTGCCATCAACTTTCTTTTAATGAAAGAAAGGCTCAGAAAGGTGAAAAATATTGCATTTCTTAGAATGCGTGTGCAGGTTCTTTTAATTCTACAATCTTTTCTTTAGGTTTTACCCTCTTTGTGATTTTACCCCTTGGCCCACTCTCTCCTCCCCAGAATTAACCACCCTGTCCTACATCTGAGCCCTGGACATACTCCTATAACCTTACAATATTTTAATTATTTTCCTGGAAGTATCCATCTCTTCTACTCTAGTGGTTCCTCCCTGAGGAACAGATCTTATTTCTCTTTCACATCTACAAATAATGTGTGCATGGCATTTATTGAGCACTTACTATGCATCAGCACTTTGCTAAATCTTTTCATGTAATATTTTATGTATTCCTTGGGGCAAACCA